GATTAAGAAATATAATTCTTTGGTGAACAATGAAATCAGTTATAACAAAAAGATAAATAAGAAAGGATAGAGAAAGAAGAATAAGAAGGATTAGGGTGAACTGCTATACTATTCACTTTCTCAATATTACAAAAGATTACAAGTGAATAACACAATTTGACCACACCTAATAAACTGAGTGTTCTAGCCTATATATAGACTGACTAGATAACCTGCAACCCAAGTTAACTAAACATTTGGATCCATAACAAAAGGCCTAATTCAACAATACATATTAGAACATACTTTGACTATAATACGTATCCTTCGATATAGCATGCAATCCATCTTCTACTTCATGCTTGTCTCCTGCCGAAATACATGAAAGTTATTCCACGACAGAGTTAGAGTTCGACCCAAAATCTCACATTCTCACAACCACACCATGAGAACAATGAATATCAAACTTTCACAAATATATGTATCCAAAAAGAAGAAAGAGCATACAATAGTTGTGTCGAACGTCGTAAGTTATATTTTGAATAATACATATGATCCTTAATTCTATACTTAGGTGCTACCGAATACTTTACAAACCTAAACAATGTTTTCTAAAGTCTATTCTTTGATTTATAGTATCATTCATACATTGCCTAACATTTATCTAACAATTTGACATTGAACTCAATAAAGGATGAAAGTTTTACGACGACTTACATGAATTTACTGTTGTTTGGAATGGTAGTGTTATGGATCCGCTTATTGCAAGCAGTTGAGATGAAATTATTTAATTTTGGAATTTACCATCCATTCATCTAGTTGTTTTATGGTATTATGGTGATAACATGTTTCTATTTGTACTTTTTGACAATAAACCCTTGCCTATCCATGAAATTTAAAAGTTTCACACGTTATATATTGTCGACCCAACTAATTGACATTTGAAATTGTGTTATTAGGATATACGAACAAGGGTGAAAGATATGCTCTGGTAATTACTAATTATTTTCAAATAGTTTTTTTCCAGAAGTTGAACTGTATGATTCTACATAAATTTCCATTCATGTTATACTCATCACTTATTCTGCACAGATTTGTAGACCTCCGGTTACATGCATGATGTTATGTTTAACAAATTCTATTAATTGGATCGAAATTACTGAAGGTTTGAGTTAGTTTTTATGTCAAAGTGAATTTGAGGATGGAGAAATAATTAGATTTATTTTTAATAATATTTGGTCTAGCCACTACGTTATAGTCACAAAAGTAACATATTATTTTATAGTTGCATTTTTAGACATTATCTAAATGTATTTATTATGTATGGTTGGCATGTTTTTTCCCCCTACATTCTTACATTGAGATGCAACTTGAACAAATTCAACACAAGTTTAAATAATTAATTGAATTTTAACTAAATCTAATGATATATAGTATTTAAATTCCTTTAATCTAATACGTAAGTTTTCTATCTGATCTGACCTGATCAGAAGGAGAATAATGACCTGCCACGCGTCGTTGATCTGTAAGCTGCTCACAAGGAATATGGACGAGGAGGGGGTGTACCTGTAAGACACTCTGATGCCAAAGTAAGTAATGAACCAGAGTGGGAGCAAATATAGAAGAGAGGTTAATAAGAGAATACCTGATCCTCTTGTGAAAGAGGGTGTTTATAGAGAGACCCCAGCGCAGGGCCAACAGTCACTTGTGTTGGGCTGGATTGTCAGGCTCAACCCAGGTGACTGCTAGAGCTTACGTGGCATAGTGAAAACCAACACATGGTCTTCGTCCTAGTTCAACCGTCTATGATCTCTGGAAGGTGGGTTGACCATCTCTTTCAGAGGTGGGTAGTTGGATGATGACGTGTTCCCGCGGAGGGGAGCACGTGGAGAACGTGCGGAGGACACGTTGTTTTGCCCGACGAAGGAAGCGTCCTACCCGATGGAGGAAGTGTCCTGGTCGACGGGAGCATCTGTGCTCGACATCGAAGCAATTTGGGCATGGTGGGCCTTCCCCAAATAGTGTGGGGTTGAGCCTGCCTGGTCAGGCCTGGGCCTAGTCCAGAACACTATCTTTTCGAACCTCCCATTTTTTATGTCACCTTATTAAAGATATTAACAATTAATACAATATTACTTAATCAAATCTATCTAAAGAATAATTGCAGGACATTGGAAAAATCATTATGCACATACAATACCCTTATCTTTTTTTTTTCATGGGTAGATGCATTCAGAACTTACATAGTCCCAAATACTCCAATGAATTCAATATTTGAACTCCACAACTTTAATAATATTTCTCAATTTTTTCAAAAAAATCATGTCGCGTGCGTTTTTGAATTTAAAAAACCTCCTTATGTTTGCGGCATTTTCCCTTTTCAATTGAATAATCTTTCAAATTGCATTAAACACATAATATCTTATGTAATTTTTTTATTGGTTTTGTGTAATACATTGCAACTCCACTATCAAAGGCAACCATTTATGCTACAAAATATTCAATTCCCCTTTATTTAACAAGGTCGTTAAGTCCTTTTCGTCTATTCTTACAAACAACATTTATGTCTGCATGCATGACATCCGATGTGGCATTTGACATGTCATATCTCATTACCGAATTCATCAAAATTCTAAGAAATTTTTCAAAATTTTGCCTCAACCCAAAATCGAACCAATGACCTCAACCAAGACAGAGTGCGCCTCCATCAACTAGGTTATTGTCCACTTGTGAAATCAAAACCTTATTATATGGAATTAAATCATCCTTATCAGGAAAACTAAAACCAACTAGAGATAGAACTTAAACATTATTTTAAGCTGATGAGATATGAAATGGTTGCAACAGAACGAACTCTAAACAAAAATAGTGGCAACAGAAAAAGTAGAATCACAAGCCCGCAAATCAAGGTGGTTTGGTAAGCTTTCTAAGGTTGCCATCAAGCTTGCTATTTTGATAAAGCTTGTTATTTTGATAATTTAGATTCTTACTTGATTCAATAAATTTTGATGCTAAGAGTAAGCATAACCAAATTGAAACATGATATCCACAAAAAGAAATAACAAATACAAGGAAACACACCAAACAAACCCATGTTCTAAGAAAGTGCACCAGAGACAACCAAAATTATACTCACAATAAGTTCCGCACGACATCAATTCACAACAAGGATCCACACAATCACACCAATCACCGAAAAATTAAAACCTATCACCAGAAAACTCTGTACACTAGAGAAAAAACATCACTGCACCAACTTTTGGTAGTACAAGAAACAAACCAATAAACATTAAGGAAGATACGAATGACGATAAAAGATGAAAAGAGAAAACTAATAAAAGTGTTTGATGTAATGTTTAAGTAAGAGAAGAAATGATCATCACATAAATAATATTATAATAAAAGTGATAACAAATGTCCGTGTTAAATCTTTCAAAAAAAAAAAAAAAAGAAAAAAAGAGAAAACATGTGAAAAAAGTTGATGAAATTGATAGTAAATTGAACGAATGAATACACTAATTAGTTAAAATACATTCCAATCGGGTAAAAAAGTTATATATATAATATTTGACGACTTTCATTTTGTTAGCGATTTATATGTAAATCAACTTAGTGGTAATCATTTTAAATTGATTTTTTAAAATGAAAAGTGATCAGAGATAAATATAAAAAATAAAAACAACCTTTTTTTGGTGAGTGATGTACGAGGAAATGAGCCGCGCCTTTATAATTTGGACACCTGTATATATATTTTCCCTATATTGAAAAAGGCTAAAACTCGAAATAAATATAAACACCGAATGATTTTCACTCCGCCAAGGAATATTATCAAAATAAATATAAATTCCACTTGGAACTCGGAAGAAGTACCCACACACACTCTTTCTGTTGTGTCATTTCCATTTTTACTTTTCTCTCACTACTCAATCTACCACCCTTTCCCTTTCTTCGCCTGAACCCTAATTCGATCCGCCGGAGCCCAAAAAACCACCGCTGAGGTTTCATCCACGTTTTGCTATTCCATTATAGTTTTTTTTTAATCAAAATATTATCTGAATGGTTCATTTTACGCTCACAATGAATGAGTTGTTGATGCAGTAGATGATTGAAGAATAGGCTAGAGATCAAAAGAAGCTGGATTTCCTCGCCGAATGGAGGGAGGTAGCATCTCTAGACTTAATTATTCTGGTACTTTCATGTCCAACTTTTTTTTTGGATATAGGGTTCTCATTTACTATATACTGTAAAACAATTCTATTTCTGATAGTGTGTGTTTGGAGGTTTAATAGTTTGCAAAGTTAGTGTTTTTAATTTCAATTTAATTACAGGAGTAATAAATTTACAACTCATTGCATTTTGGTTTACTTTCCCAAATGAATAATTTTTTTTTTCATTTCGCTCTGGATTATTCTGTTCCATGTTTCTTAATATATACATGCACAGCCCTTGAGATTTGTAAATTGTAAGTAAAGTAGTACTTTGAAATTTGAAATAACTCCTACAAATAATGAAGGGTCTTTCTTAAACTTCGAGCATTGGAAAGTTGTTTATTGCATACTATTTTGAGACTATCATGTAAGGAATGTTGTTTTTATATTTTACGCATAAAGTTGTTTCATTCTACTCCCTCCGTTCCATATTATAAGCGAACTTTACTGTTTAGATACATTGAATAATTAATGTATCTGGTCTATATGTAGACCAGATACATTAATTATTCAATGTATCTAAAAAGTAAAATTTGCTTATAATATGAGACGGAGGGAGTAGCTGTTATCTTTGTGGTATCTATCAGCCACTCCATATTCTGTTATGCCCTTGGTGCTTTCGGGGTTGCCACTCCCCATGCAACCTGTCTGTAATCGCGTATGCTGATGCATGTGCGTGCATTTGTATTTGGCGGATCTAATGCGTGGGTTTGTCTATTTGAGTATGAATATATTTGTACTGTATCCAGTCTGACCTTGTTATTCTAGCCGTTTCTCTAGTCTGATTCACTTGTATGTTTAAGGGATACACTCATGGATTATGATGACAATGACTTTCAAAGCCAGAATCTCCATTTAGCCGGTGAAGGGAGTGCCAAATTTCCTCCAGTGTTAAGGCCATATCCTCTCCCCAAGTTTGATTATGATGAAAGCCTTCAAGGTCATTTAAGGTTTGATAGTTTGGTTGATACTGAAGTTTTCCTTGGCATTGAAAGTAACGAAGATAATCAGTGGATTGATGCATACTCCCGTGTAAGTAGTGGCATAGAGTTCAATTCAACTGAAGCTGAAACTTGCTCTATATCAAGGCATAATAATGTTTGGTCTGAGGCGACTTCCTCAGAATCTGTTGAAATGCTATTAAAATCTGTTGGACAGGAGGAATTTGTCCCTAGAGAAGCTGTTATACAGGAATCGGGTGCCTGTGATGAACTTGCATGCTTAGTCAACCAAATGGATCCCTATTTGAAAGCTGATGAGAAAATTGAGTTTAAAGATAGTGTTGCCGATACACAGTCACCTAGTTGTATTCATGAAAACTTGTCCGTATCAAAAGAGGATGCAGAAATGGAGCAGTCTCTCGCTGGAGTTTCCCAAGGCTGTGAAGGCAAACCATCAATAGATGGAAGTTTAAATAATATGGAATCACCTGATATTCATCGTCATATTGACCTACCCGAGTCTGGGGGGATTCCCTTTACTGATGGTAAATATGATGAAACAAACCAAATGAAAGTTGAAACTCCAGCTGATGCTTTTCTCCATGAAAAAACTAACAATAACTCATCTGCGTCTGTGGTCACGACTAAAATGAATGAGACACCCACAGAGAATATCCCTTCTACTTGTGAAGTCTTAAAAATTCAAAATATGCAAAATCAAATAGTTGCTATTGGTGATGACAACCAAAGTTCTTTGCAATCACAAACTAGTAAGCAGGATTTGGAGTCTTATGTGAAGAACAAAAATTCTGATCTTGGCACTCAAACTTTAGATGTCAGTGCGGTTGAGGCTGAAGCAAATCAGTCTGATAATCCACTTTGTTTAATCCATAGGGAAGACACTTTGGAAGGTGAGAGTGTAGTTGATGGCCTGGCGACTGGGATAAGTACTTCAGAGAAATCCTTGAACACTGTATCTAATGATATTTCTAACCTTCAGAAAACAGAAAGAGAAAGTAAAGACGCATGTTTTAGAGATTTATCCCAGAGAATTGCTAATATAGACACGTTATTGATTAAAGATCCTGTGGCGGGTGATCAATCTGCACCAAATACAAGCAACGTTCCAAAGATTGCAATAAAAGATGATTCTAGTTCTGAAGGGGAAGATGCATGTTTTAGAAATTTATCTCAAGGAAATGCAAATAAAGATGCTTTTTTGATTAAAGGTCCTTTGACAGATTATCAATCTGCACCAAGTACAAGTGACACACCAAAGATTGCCATAGAAGATGATTCTAGTTCTGAGGGGCATAAAGTTGAGGTTAGTAATTCTGATTGTGGAACTTGCCCTAATTATCTGTCAAAGATTGCCATAGAAGATGATTCTAGTTCTGAGGGGCATAAAGTTGAGGTTAATAATTCTGATTGTGGAACTTGCCCTAATTATCAGCTGAATATGGATACGATTGAGAAGACACTTGGCGAGAGCAATGTTTCCAAGGAAAAGGAGTTGTTAAACATTGGTAACCAGATGGATACAGATGATTTGTTAAGTAAGGCAGAAGCATCTATGTTTGCTGTGGTGGATAACAAGACTTTTGTAGTTAGCGAAGGAAATAGTGATAACAGAGCAAGCGTTTTCAGTTTCAATCCAGTGGTTTCTACTAAGTCTTGTATTTTGGGCGAGACTACTCAAGTATGTGAAAATAACAAATCTAACAAGCAGGGTGAGCATAAATTTTTTTGTCAAGCTATTTCTGTCAGTGACCAAGGGACTGAAAAGGCTCCATTCGATTCAAGCACAATTCATCATGATGTTGATCCATCCCATCTTGCTAACGGGGGAGTTTGTTCATCATCTCTTGGTGCATGTAGCATGGAAGCCTCCACAGTGTCAGTTGATATCATGCCCATCAATAGTTCAGGTATATTACAAATTAGAAAATCAAGTTGGTTTAATAGAAGATATATCTTGTGTTAGGGTTTATCTTCAATGCTTCTTTGCATCTTATTTTTCATGTTCAAAATATTTGTTTAGAAAGTATTTATTCAACATCCTGCAAGACAGTATATGTTGTACATCCTAGCTGAATTGTTATGTATTAGTTTAGTAGCATGATTCACACATATATTGGTATAGGAGTTTATTTAAGTGATTTCAATACATGCTTAGTAACTGTATAGTCTGTAGTAACATAATATGCTGAAATGGCATATTCTGACACTACATTGAGCTTCTTAAGGCTTGACCTCTAAATAAGTAATCTGCATACTTCACTGAGCTTAGGTGAATCATTACATATGTTGTACCTCCTAGCAGAATTGTGTATTAGTTTAGTAGCGCAATTCATATATTTATTATTATAGTAGTTTATTTATGTGATTCCAATACATGCTTAATAACTGTGGTCTGAAGTAACCTATGAAGCAGACATTGACGACACTGACACATTGACACCGGTAATAATTTAAAAAAATGAATCAATTGAATTTAATCACAAGTGTCGTTGTCGGTGCTTTTGAGGTAGTAGCATAATATGCTGAACTGGCATATTCTGATACTACATTGAGCTTCTCAAGGCTTGACCTCTAAATAAGTATTCTGCGTACCTTAATGAAAGCTTAGGTGAATCATTACATCAGTTTCACTCAACAAGACTCTCAGATTTCTTTCTCTGGTTTATCATTTTCCTATAGTTTCCTTCTTTTGCTCTCAGTCTAACTGTCCACACTTGAAGTTACAGATCACCATGAGCTTAAAAGGATGAAGCATGTTGGCGCTGCTTCTGTTGATGAAAAGGAAGACTTTGAAGCCCAAATAGTTGAGGAAGCAGACATTTCTCTTCCTGTTGGATTTTCTAAATTGGAAGTTGATCCTTGTCCTGTTGCTGGTATCAAAAATAAAAAAAAATCCGACAGTACTGGACACATACTATGCGAGACAGACAACATCTGTCAGCATAATTTGGAAATTAGTGCTACTGAAAGTATTGGTGAACCTCAAGAAATACTAAGTGGTATGGTTGATCACGAGTGCACAAAAGAGGCTACTGTTGTTGCTGTTCTATGTGAATCAAATGAGAAACAAGGTGATGAGGTTACTGTTTCTTTTATTAAGGATGATAAGGTGGCAATACAAGAGCATCATGACAAGCCATACTCGAAATTATCAGGTAATCTTTAATATATACATATGGTTCCTTTCCAATTTTATAGTTTTTGACTTTTGTAGGTGTAATCAATTTTTAATGACTCTGTTTATTGATAGTGCTTTGTGCACATCTAAGAATACATTCTCTATATGTAGCTATTCTTGAATGTTAGAGCATCTCGTTACACATATTAAGCCTGCCACCTTATTTATGGTCTCTGCATAGTGTATGTGAATGTGGTTGTGGCATCTGATTCCTGATCAATTGTCTACTTTTTGAATTTTTACTGGATTTTTCTTGTTACTCTTGTTTCTGCTCGCTGTGTGCACATATTGCATAATGTTATAATTTATACTCCACCGTTTTTTATTGGGAAAAAATTGTACCAAATTATAAGTTGTTTTACATTACCAATGAATCGTAAATGTTATTTTTCCTATTATACCTTAAAATATTTATTATTCTCTTTTTTTCAACTCTTAAAATTTATCTTTCCCATATCATTAATGAAAGGACAATTTTGTAAAATCCTTCATAACTTCTCTCTTTTCATACAACAATCATACATTCTTAATATGCGTGAAACTAACAAAACAATATATAACAAAAAGCAGAGATAGTATCAATTTGTCCTGTCCTGTTTTAGAATGACCCCATATTGTTGAAGTACGTTTGAACCATGTGCTGAATTGTTTATACTTGATTTTTTTAAAGCAAATTGTTTATATTTGTAATTTACATCTCCAGTTCTTTTGTAACATTTATTTAATCTTTCCATACCTATTAGAAGATCAATTTTACATGACTTATTGTTTGCAAATGAAGGTTCCATATCGTCTTCTGTTTCGGATCCTCACAATGAGTTGCATGAGACTGGAGGTTGTCCTGCCAATCCTTCATATAATAAGTGTGGACTATCTGCCACATTTGGTAGCCCTCTTGAAACTGAAAAGGGTGTGAATATTAAGCCTACTGGTAATATGAACACACCAGTTTTTGAGTTCGTGAATAAGGATGCAAGAAACACATCATCTTCTGATCATGATCACAAGGGAAATGATGTATCTAAAGATGGGAGAAGCCTAGCTCCTGATGTTGATCTAGTGACAAATTCGTCCAAAAAAGACGTTACAGATTTGACCCCAATAGGAGCAAAAGCTGGTGAGAGGGGTCCTCTTGAAACTGAAAACAGTTTGAATATTAAGCCTATTGCTAATCTAAACACACCGGTTTTTGAGTTCACAAATAAGGATGAAAGGAACACATCATCTTCTGATCATGATCACAAAGGAAATGATGTATCTACAGATGGGAAAAGCGTAGCTCTTGATGTAGATCTAGTGGCAAATTCGTCCAAAAAAGATGTTACAGATATGACCCCAATAGGAGCAAAAGCTGGTGGGAGGGGTTCGTTTCCTGTTATTGCAGCCGACAAAGAATCAGTGGTAATTCGTGTTGCAGTTCATAATAAAATTTCATAGGAACTCTTATATAGATGTTACTTCTCCATCATTTACTGCTTATTGAAAGATTCATTGTAAAATACAATCTGTATTTTTCATTATGAATTGATCTAGTTGACTTATTTTATTCTTTTTTTCTCCTCTTATTTTTTAAGGTTGTAGCAGAATCTCCGCTGGCTTCTGAATTAGGTACCCCCAAATCGAATGTAGCTAGATTTGTACCTCATGGAAGTCCACAAATACCTGATGGTGATTTAGCACAAAGTGTTTCTAAAGGTACACCTGAGCGTAAAACCAGGCGAACACCTAATAAGACTGCTGGAAAGGAATCGTCTAGAAAAGGAAGCAAAGGAAAGACTCCAGCAAAACGGTCTGAAAAAGGGGATAGTTCAACAAGTGTACCTCTGAGCCCATCCTCTGGGTTCCAGCTGAAATCCAACGAGGCACATCAGTATAGGAAAATCGATTCCATCAGTACAATGCCATTTTCAGATTTGAATACCTCCGCTTCTCCGTCTGTTATGTTTCAACAGCCTTTTATGGATGCTCAACAAGTACAGCTGCGGGCACAGATCTTTGTCTATGGAGCTTTGATGTGAGTTCTAATGTTAGCTGTTATTTTCATTTAAATGTTATGGTTACTTAGATATGATGTGCAAGTGTGCTTATGAATATTATTTTTTCATCCGTTCGCCTCCTCACTTATAACCCTTAGTGTTCAAAATTGGATCAGACTAGTCGATCCTACTGGTTGAACTAATAATCAGTCAAGCATTCTGTTCCTAACTGACCTTAGAATCGGTTAGAACAATAAAAAGGCCAGCTGAGAGAGTGTTTTTTCTTTCTTATCTGTAATTTTTATTTTTATCTCAAAATTTTAACTAATGTCTTGTGATAAAAAGCCATTATTATGGTTTTTTTTTTCTATTTTACCATTTACTATTAATTTTCTTTGATGTTAATTTAAGATTAAACTTTCTTATATTTTAATAATTTAATACTCCCTCCGGTCTTATTTATAAGTTTACTTTTTAGATACATTGAATAATCAATGTATCTGGACTATATTGGACCAAATACATTTATTATTCAATGTATCTAAAAATGAAACTCTCTTATAAATAGGATCAGAGGGAGTATTATTTACTATTATATACTATAGCGTGTGTATGTATGTGTCTGATATCCGGACCATCGACTGATGAACTAATGTCTTTGCCGGCTATGGGATTATTTTGAAGTTTTATTGGAATTCTTTCAGTTCAATTTGGTGTGTTGAACCTTAGTCATCTTCTATGATGTTCCCAACTTCTAGTAACTGTTATCTGAATCCAAAGCCTGTTCGCATCTTTATGAGATAGGATTTTGTATAGGTAGCATGAATTGTGCTATACTCATCACACCGGTATCATGACCAACTGTGCTGATCATCTTTCTTATTGATGTTGCTACAGTCAAGGCATAGTACCCGAGGAGGCCTATATGTTATCGGCTTTTGGCGGTGCAGGTTTTTGTCCACCTCAAAATCACGATCTCTTTTTTTTTTTTTTCCCTTGCTTGCTATAAAGTATTAAGCTCCTAGAAATTGTTTTTTTAGATGGTGGACGGAACTTTTGGGAGAAAGCCTGGTCTTCCTGCTTGGAGAGGCAGCGGAGTCACAAGTCTCATCCAATTAACCCAGAAACACCACTGCAATCACTATCTGGTATATTTATGATATGTACTTATAGATGTGTGTTTAGGTTTTCCTCTGGTTTTGTCGTGTAACTATTGTGAAATGAGATCCTGCAGGTACTAGAACCCATGATTTGGCAGTTAAGCAAAGTGAACTGCAGGGAAAGGGTGTCTCTTCCCCTCTTGGCCTAGCCAGTAGCAAGGGCACTCCAACCATTGTAAACCCTTTCATTCCCCTGTCATCTCCTCTTTGGAGTCTACCATCTCCCGCACAGGCACTTGTTTCATTGCATCCTAATCAAACTCCACCTCTGAGAAACTTTCTTGGGCATAATACATCTAGGATATCCCAATCTCCCTTTCGTGGACCATGGATTGCTTCTTCTACTCCTACACTTGATAACAGTTCCTATCTCTCTGCATCACCTGTCACAGATACAATTAAGTCCAGTTCAATCAAAGGAACTTCTGCACCTTCTTCCTCTAGTATTAAGAATGTCCCACCTAATCTGCAAGCTTCTAATGTAGGTCTACAAAATGTGTTTCTGCCAACTACTCCTCTGTTTAATACAAGCAATGCAATGGTATCATCTGCCCATCGTTCTTGTGATCCAAAGTCCAAAAAAAGGAAAAAGGTTACAACAGAGTCTGAGGATCTTGGCCACAGGGTTATGCATTTGCAGTCCCACCTAGTATCACCTCCTGTTGTCAGCAACCATATATCTCCTGCTAACGCCACTGCAATCCCTGTTGTGAATGTGCCAGTAACGACTGTTGAAAAATCAGTTGAGTCTGTATCTCCTCTATCTCTTGCTGATCGCCTCAAAAGTGGCTGGAATGTTGAGAAGAGGATTATGTCAGATGAGTCTCTTACAAAAATTGAGGAGGCAAGGATAAATGCAGAGGAAGCTTCTGCTCTTTCTGCAGCTGCGGTGAATCATAGCTTGGAGATATGGAAACAGTTGGATAAGCAAAAAAATTCTGGATTGGCATCAGATATTGAGGCCAAATTAGCTTCTGCAGCAGTTGCAGTTGCAGCAGCTGCAGCTGTTGCAAAGGCAGCAGCTGCAGCTGCCAGTGTTGCGTCTAATGCTGCACTGCAAGCAAAACTGATGGCTGATGAAGCATTAATCTTTTCTGGTCGTGAGAGTTCTTGTGGAACTTATTTTTCGGAGGGTATGAGTAACTTGGGAAAAGCAACCCCTGCTTCCATCTTAAAGGGTGCAAGTGGAATCAATAGCTCTAGTTCTATTATCGGTGCTGCAAAGGAGGCTTCGAGAAGGAGAGTGGAGGCTGCTTCATTTGCCAGAAAACGAGCTGAAAATGTGGATGCTATTGTGAAGGCTGCTGAGCTGGCAGCAGAAGCTGTTTCACAGGCAGGAAGGATTGTTACCATGGGGGATCTTTTGCCGTTAAGTGACTTGGTAGAAGCTGGTCCAGAGGGTTATTGGAAAATATTCCAAGAGTCTTCTCAGCAAGTTGGGTTATTGAAAGGCATGAGCAGAGGTCCGATGAATGTTGACAATCTATACAGACCAGAAACCTCTCAAATATCTAACAGAGATACCTCATCTATGGAAATGGGGAAGCAGATTGCTGCAAGTGAGGAGTCACCCTTTCAGAAGGTGCATAATGAGACTTCACTGGACCATATGAGATCAGTTGATGAAAATAGTTCAAATGGATCAAGGGGCCGCAGGGTTTCTAATTTAGTCAATCCCATTGACATGCTTCCTGAATCTGTGACTGAAATACAGGCTTCTTTAACTGACCGTAATGGACATGGAAATCTGGGGGAGAATTACATAAAAGAGGGCTCATATGTAGAGGTTGTTTTAATAAACCTTTTCCTTTCTTTTAGTGATTTAGTTATGTAGTTAGATTCATGACTGCGGATTTTTTTTGGGTTATTTGTTATCATGACAACTTTGGTTATTATTAGGTTCTACCGGTCTGGTTTTTACTAACCATTCTTGGCTAACTGAAGCAATTATGTATCAGGTTTTTAAAGATGGAAAGGGATTTAAAGCAGCATGGTTCACAGCCAATTTATTAAGTTTGAAGGATGGTAAAGCATATGTATGCTATGACAGGCTTGTAGCTGATGAAGGTTGGTCAAGCTTATGCATTCTTGTTCGTTAACGAGAATGAAATACATTAATTACTACTTGATCAATAAGACAAACTACATGATTTTTTTATTTATTTACTATTTGCACTAGTCAATGTTGGGCTTTGTGTGTACTTCAAGTCAGGGAATCCTCTATAATAGTACATCTGAATGTAAAAGGTCATAGACAAGATCACATAACTCATTTTGATATTTTTTGATTGTCGTAGGTTTAATCAATAAATTCACAATTGAGGTTTTGAATTAAAAGTTGAGCATTTTGAATATTATTTTTTTTTATAAAATTGTTTGTATGATGCTTGTGACTGGTCATTTCAAATGAAGATCTTGTATAATTGTGTAATATAGGCCACACTCTTTTGATGTGAATAAGAAGAAAAATCATTGTTTCAAAGGTGCAGGGCCTTTAAAGGAATGGGTTTCACTTGAAGATGAAGGAGATAAACCCCCTAGAATACGTGCTGCTCATTCTCTTACCAGTTTTCATTATGAAGGGACAAGGAAGAGACAAAGAGCAGCTATGGTAGATTATTGGTCCATTGGGGATAAAGTTGATGCTTGGATACAAGAAAGGTATATTTTTTGTTTTTATAATGCTAGAAAGATAAAGTATTGTTTCAATGAATGACTGCGAGATAGAAACTGAAACTTGTACTACATAATTTTTTATCTCTTTGGCCTTAATCAAACATTTACAACGGATGTGATTTTGTACCAATTTTTTGTTTGCTTTCAAATAAATAGAGTAACTAATTTTAAAAACAAAAATAAATTCAGTTCATTATAATGTTTTGTTGCTATGGGTAACTTCATGGGTTATTTTTTGAAGGGAAGGTGCTAATCATGAAATTTGCACTGGGGAATGGGTTTTTATTGCATTGATGGATTTCTTATGCTCAAAGCACAGGAACAATTGTTATTTTTATACATATTACCCACCATTCTGGGTCTTATTCAGATAAGACAAATAAATAAGATATTTTATTGTTGTGCATTCAGTTCTTTCAGGGCAAAGTAGGTACACATTAAAAGGTTTTGTGGATTCGACTCATTCTATTTATTAGCTTTTGTCTCACATAAACTTCATAGCTACAAAGCTTGGCCAATTAATAATGGTCTTGCTGCTTGGTTTTGAAGCATCAATTGCTTTCTTACCGTAATTTCATTATGCTGCCGCGTACCTTAGCTGTGTATTTCCTTTTAAAATAATGATGTTTTTTTGTATATTACGTCTATATTTTGATGTAGCAGTTACCTCAAATTTAGCCATTTTTGTTATTAGTTGGCAAGAAGGAATTATTACAGAAAGGAATAAGAAAGATAAAACATATATTGTTCAATTCCCAGGTATTGAAGTTATTTAACTAGCCATTAATTTTAAGTTGTGCTTATCGATTTGTATAACTGGCTTCTTGGAGATACACAATCTATTTGGTTTTCTGCAGCAAGCGGAGAAACATCAGTTGTTGAAGCTTGGTATCTCCGTGCATCCCTCACTTGGAATGATGGGAAATGGGTTGAGTCTCCTAGTGTGGGAGCAAATGACAGTCCCTCCAATGAGGTACTTTGCTTGCAAACTGTGATGTTTTAACTTGATGCATTGCCTTCTGTGCTGAGCTGTGCATTTTGAATGCAGGGTGATGCACCGCCCGAAAAACGGACTAAATTAGGTAGTCCTGCACAAGAACTAGTAAAAGGAAAAGACAAGACCTCAAAAGGCACCTATGCTTCAGAATCAGCTAATCCCAGTGAATTAAGGTTACATAATTTGACTGAAGATCATAAAGTGTTCAATGTTGGTAGGACCATCAAGAACGAAAAGAACCCAGATGCACCCAGATTGGCAAGGTCAGGTCTTCAAAAAGAAGGACCAAAAGTGATCTTCGGAGTTCCTAAACAGGGGAGAAAAAAGAAATTTATGGAAGTAAGCAAACATTATGTTGCAGGGGGGGCAAGTAGAATTAATGATGGAAATGATTCAGATAAGATTGCAGATTCTTTGATACCACATGCTTCAGGTTCACACGGATGGAAAAATAGTTCAAAGAAAGACACCAAAGAAAAAATAGGAGCTGACTGCAAGCCCATTTCCAAGTCTGGAAAGCCACGTAGCGTTTTGGGTAGAGTGATCCCGTCAAAACAAAAACCTTTGTCAAACTCTCGTAACAATGATTTGACAAGTCGTACAGAAAGGTCGAGGGATTCTTCAAGTCATGCCAACAGTGCATCTCAGCGTGAAAATCAGATGGAAAGGGCATCCTATTCTGAAACCCCAGGAGCTAGACAAACCTCAAATTCCTCACGAGCATCTTCAACCGATTCTCATCCCACTAAAAAGCCACTCACATCAAGAGTAAGTAAAGGAAAACAAGCACATGCTGATGGAAGGTGGGGTAAAGTTGAAGTGGAAAAGGCTATGAAAGGAAATTCGGTGAGATCAACCTCTGAAGAAGTTCCTGAGCCTCGTAGATCGAATCGTAAGATCCAGCCAACATCAAGAGTAAGAATATGTTGGACGGCAACTAAAATTGATTGTTCTAAAGTTTTGCATCTACTGATTTTATTTTATTTTCTAAATTATTAGAATCTGTAAAAATTTAGCCATTTATTTTGAGCCTGATGTTGACTTTGGGTTGGCAGCTATTGGAAGGAATCCAGAGTTCTTTAATTATCACAAAGACTCCTTCGGGTCCACACGAAAAAGGTCACAAAAACCAGAACCGGAATACTCCTAGGGGGTAAGATTCTGTTTCTATAATTCTACTTTCAGCTATTCTTCTGTTTCTGTAGCCGGTTGAGTTTAACACATCAAAAATTATGATTAACTTCAACAGATAATAACCATGGTTGAATGAAGGATTTGCAATGGTCAGAGTTAGTTGAAAGACAAGTGCGGTGGGATGATCCACATACTCTGCATAAATTTGTATATTACATATAATAGGGGACATAGCAATGGGAATTCTTTCCTTTTTTTGGTTTAGACAGACTAGTCAGAGTAGTTTTGTTCATATTGATTTATCCATGTCTTGTCGAATGACACTGTAGTCTGTACATGGAATTTATCCATGTTGACTTATTTAAAGAAGTTTGCTGCTGATATATCAGTTGGTAACATAATACTTCTCCTTGGGTATTATTAACTTAATTGGCACAACGATTTTTGCTCCCATTTTTCACCTTTGCCTCTTGCCTTAGCATTAAATATAGGTTGGCAAAGTTTGGGATAATATTTGCTGTGACAATCATAAGCTCTGTAAAAAAAGATTTAGTCACTATATTACTAATATTTATTGTTTTGTAGATTATATTTATAAATTTTGAATCTTGCTAATATTTTGTTTCATCTTCAAAAGAAAAGGTGCATCCGGGTTATTAGAAGCGGCCTTTCGTTCTTGTTTGTGATTGTAGAGAAATATGAATTTTTCGATTTTCTTTCAAAGAGGAAGAAAATGACATAAGTCATACATTGAAGGAGGGAAGGGTATTAGAAATGGTTTTGGTTATTGTACATGAATAATTAATCTTTTTTATTTTTTAAAATGAAGTGATTTAAAGTATATATATAATGTTATGTATATGTAAAATATTTCTTGTTAATGAATAGATTAGAGCAACATTAATGTTTTTCTAAAGAAATATACTTTAGAAAATTTATCTAACAAGCTTTAACGTATAACAACCAGAATTTCACAAGCGCCAAATTTTTTATTGGAATTCATATCACTTTCATTAAATGCTTTGTTAAGCTATTTATTTTCTCTTAAAATGTTTTTTATAAAATTATATATTTGGTTTAAATTAATTTTTGTGGTTTTCTTTTTTTTTATTATTTTAACTTTTTAATAATTTAAAATTTAATTTTGGGGTCTTATTTATTAAGTAAGACTTTCAAAGAGGAAGTTTTTTTTGACTTACTTTAAATTATAACTTTGAATTGAATCTAATTTAATAATTAATTAAATAAAAGATTAGTTTAACTACTAGATTAGATTCAACTCAAAGATTATGATTTGAGTAAGTTGATTCTCACTCTTATATATATATATATATATATATATATATATATATATATATATATATATATATATATATATATATATATATATATATATATATATATATATATATATATATATATATATATATATATATATATATATATATATATATATATATATATATATATGAGAAATATAAAATATTATTATATCAATATAAATAAGAAAAAATAACTATTTTCTTTCTTACATTTTATCAAATGCGAGTGTGCCCAAACCTAAAGTGAATTTTTAGTGCACCCTATGAATTACTAGCAAATCTCGTAAAAATACAATAATACTTCTAAATTCTAAAGATACATCGGATTCAATAACTTTGCCCTTTGTAGCTTTGGGTAATTTTAGGCCATTCTTTATTTTATTTTAAAAATAAAATAAAATAATATAAAAAATAAGATGAGAGAGAGAGTTGTAGGTGAGAGAAAGAGATAAAGGTACCATGTAGTTGGCGCCTTAAAGGTACCTAATCCTTACCCTCCAAGCACATACAACCAATGTTGATTTGAGTCACACTCTAAGTTTGTTTATATTTTGATTTTGAAATGCATCTCCATAAACATTATAGAGATATATTTATGTAGCCTACTGAAGCAGAAAACATCCAAAAAATCAGAAAGTTGCAGTTTGACACTTTGATAAATAAAATTAACATTAATAACATAAAATCAACATTACATAGGTGATATTAACATAAATCAAACACTGCATTTTAGTATACAGTTGGACGTTTTAACATCTTCATAGTATCTTTGAACAATCTCGAAATCGTCAAATTAACCTCGATCGAAATTTTTATTTCTCAACGCGAAAAGTATTCCATGTATAGCCCTTAAATCTACCGACCAACTTAGAATAAAGATTGTTTTCTTTGAATCTTTGTTCCAACATTGTGATGCTACGACCAAATAATGCTTATCTCTCATTATGCTGATTTTAGATCATTTGGTTCATAAAGTCTCAATCTCTACATAAATCACACTTATTATTTTTCAACCAATTCTCCAGTGTAACATAAGCAGACTCAACTCGGTTTGTTGTTGTATTTTCAAAGTGTCTAACTTGATCGGTCAAAGCACAAACAATCTTCTCCTTCACTTGGTCCATAAGTCCATTATTCTTTCCACTATCACGCTCACCTTAACCATTTTTCCGTCTTTGCCCTTAATTTTTTCCGTCCCTACCCCGGGTTTTACCCCAATTTTCACATTCTTTGTGATGTGATACTGTTGCGGTGAAATTTGGATGTCAAGCTATTGATTAACTTGAATCTTAATTCATTTATAACCAGTCTTTGATTTATCCGAAGGAAAGGTTAAAGAAAGGGGAAAACCTGTTTTGCATCGTAAACACAATGCGGGGAGAGATCTAAGGTTCGGGGGTTGGTTAAGCTTAGAGAAGGTATTAGCATCCTAAACTTCTATAGTACTCTACAGGAACCTCTTGTTTTAATGTGCTATTGCTAATGGTTATCTGCTTAAGGGTAATGCTAAGGGTTAAAGGTAAAGAGAAAGGACCTAAGGGGTTAGTCCTAAGTTTACTCGCCAAGACTCGCATCTTGTGCCTACGTATCCGAGGTAGGGGATGGAATCAGAGTAATCGTAGTTCCCCTCACAGAGGGAGGAAGAGGAACTTCTTGACTATGGTCAAGGTTCCAGGGGGGAAGTAAACGTTCATAGGGAAGCGCTTACTTTGGAGTGTGGCGACTCCGATTTCTACGTTATAAAGTTGAATTAAAAAGGTGTAAGTAGGTATTCCACAGCGGGAGCCTACATGGAGTGCGACGACTCCTAATCCTAAGGCTAGGATAAAGGGTAAATGTCCACGGCGGAACGCCTAAGCATGAGTATGGCGACTCAAAGTCTTAAGGTTTGAAAGGGTGAAGGTGTGTCCACGGCGGGACGCCTAAGCACGAGTACGGCGACTCGGATCCTAAGGCTAGGATGGGGTGAAGGTGAGGTATTGACTCGGCGGTCAAATATGTGAACCTTGCCTTCGGAGGGGAATTAAGCGACGGTGACAATTGAAATGTAAATTGATATACAAGCGATGATAATGGATAATATAAATGAGATATTGAAATAGATAGTCAAGTTAGGAATGGATTATGGAATGAGACTAATGACGTTAGAATTGGTGAAATTGTTTAGTTTGAGAAATTTAGGGATCACTGCTTTTAGAATTTTGTGTTTAAGTGAGAATTACTTTGAGAAATTATGAACTACAGTTACAAAAGGGGTTAGGCCAAATTACCCTAAATTAATAAAGGAGTTAATTATTTTTATTTATTTCGAGAATTTTTATGTCTAAGTTGAAAAGTTGTTTTAGAAATTAAATTAAATGGAATAGAAAAATTAGGTTGGATTTTAAATAGATAAATACTTTTTTTTATGGATTTTAATTTATTATGAAAAAGAAATTAGTTTTAAACTAGTCTAAAAATGTTATTATTGCATCAAAGTTAAAAAACTAAATAAGCTAAGTTTGATTTTATTTGTCATTTTTATTATAAAACTAGATTAATATTGAATCAAAAATTGATATTTTTGTCCTTTTTTATTTTTTTATATTAAATTATTTTTCCAGATTTTGAAATGATCTAGTTAGTATTATGTTAGTGTAGTTAGTTTATTTTATTCATTATATATTAATATTACAAAATAAAATAAAAATAACTAAATAAAAAATAAAAAATAAAAAACAAAAATAAATGGGATGGGCCGGTGGTGATGAACCCACCGGACCCAAACCCGGTTTGGCCACCCAAGAGCAAAAGGGGGGAAAAGGGTTTGCTAGAAACCTTAATCCCAAATCGCGGCGCCTCCCCCCTCAGATATTCTTTCTCTCTTTCGTCTTCCATTTCCATCCACCTCCTTCCTTTTCTCCCGTCTGTTTCTTTTCCACTTGCTCCTCTCGCTTCTATTTCTTCTTCAACTTGCCTCTTTCCCTCCTTATTTTTCTTTCCTAACTCTGTAAACAAACAAACAAGAAGCAACTATTAAATAAAAACAAACTGAATTGGGTTTCTTTTACCTTTCGCGGTGGAAATTTATGAAGGAAAGCTTCGATTTGGGTTTTTGGAGAGGTGTGGTCGGCGACGGCGGCAGAAGGACAATTCCCAAGATAAGTTCCTCTTAACTCTTTCTCCCTTTTTTACGTTTTAGGGTTTCGAGTCTCTGTTGTATGTGTTCTGAATGTGGTTTTCTAATGTTGTGTGTTTGTGAAACTTTGTGGAGAATTTCTGTGTAAATCCCCGTCCATCTGTGTATCTGAATGTTTTTGAATCTCCCCCCTGTGTGAATCCGCTTTCTCTATTTTATAGGCCATAAGAACTTCAATTGAGGTTTTAATGTGAGATCTGGATGTGTTTTCTTGTTTTGGAAACAAACACAATATGCTATCTCTGAGTGATTTCTTAACATCTTCAATTTTTTTTACATTGATGATTAATGGTTGCTGTAAATGCTCTTTGATTTCATGCCACAACAATGACTTCATGCTGATTGTATATTTGAAAATTTTCCCCTTTTTTTCAGATTGTGTCTGAAACGTGTCGGTAATATCATTAAGCGTCTTTACTGTGGTTCTGCGAAGATGGCATCAGAATTTCGATGTTGGTATCAAGTCTGTTTTGGAAAGATTATTAGTTATTCTACAAATTATTTCGAAGGTAATGACTTTCCTTTCTTGATTGAACATGTTTGAGACACGTTCGATTTCTCTTTTCAAGTCCAACACATATTCTTGTGTCTGTGAACCCAATTATGGATAAGTTCTCTT